AAGACTCAAATCAATAGAATTAGAAATGAAAAAGGAGAAGGAACAACTGACGCTGCAGAAATACAAAGGATCATGAGAGATTACTACTAGCAACTCTATGACAATAAAATGGACAACCTGGAAGAAATGGACAAATTCTTAGATATGCACAACCTGCTGAGACTGAACCTGGAAGAAATAGAAAATATGAACAGACCAATCACAAGCCCTGAAATTGAAACTGTGATTAAAAATCTTCCAACAAACAAAAGCCCAGGATCAGAGGGCTTCACAGGCGAATACTAACAAACATTTAGAGAAGAGCTAACACCTATCCTTCTCAAACTCTTCCAAAATATAGCAGAGGGAGGAACACTCCCAAACACATTCTACGAGACCACCATCACCCTGATACCAAAACCACACAAGGATGTCACAAAGAAAGAAAACTACAGGTCAATATCACTGATGAATATGGATGCAAAAATCCTCAACAAACTACTAGCAAACAGAATCCAGCAGCACATTAAAAGGATCATACAGCATGGTCAAGTGGGGTTTATTCCAGGAATGCAAGGATTCTTCAATATACACAAATCAATCAATGTGATACAGCATATTAACAAAAAGAGGAGAAAAACCATATGATCATCTCAATAGACGCAGAGAAAGCTTTTGACAAAATTCAACCCCCATTTATGATAAAAACCCTGCTTTCCTCAGGGAAAGCAGGGAAAATTTCCTCAACATAATAAAGGCCATATATGACAAACCCACAGCCAACTTCGTCCTCAATGGTGAAAAACTGAAACCATTTTCACTAAGTTCAGGAACAAGACAAGGTTGCCCACTCTCACCACTATTATTCAACATAGTTTTGGAAGTTTTAGCCACAGCTCTCAGCGGAGAAAAAGAAATAAAAGGAATTCAAAACGGAAAAGAAGAAGTAAAGCTGTCACTGTTTGAATATCACATGATAGTATACATAGAGAATCCTAAAGATGCTAGCAGAAAACTAGTAGAGCTAATCAATGAATTTGGTAAAGTAGCAGGATACAAAATTAATGCACAGAAATCTCTTGCATTCCTATACACTAATGATGAAAAATCTGAAAGTGAAATTAAGAAATCAATCCCATTTACCATTGCAACAAAAAGAATAAAATATCTAGGAATAAACCTACATAAGGAGTCAAAATACCTGTACACAGAAAATTATAACACACTGAATAAAGAAATTAAAGATGATACAAACAGATGGAGAGATATACAATGTTCTTGGATTAGAAGAATCAATATTGTGGAAATGACTCTACTACCCAAAGCAATCTACAGATTTAATGCAATCCCTATCAAACTACAACTGGCATTTTTCACAGAACTAGAACAAAAAATTTCACAATTTACATGGGAACACAAAGAACCTGAATACCAAAGCAATCTTGAGAAAGAAAAAAAAAATGGAGCTGGAGGAATCAGCCTCCCTGTCTTCAGACTATACTACAAATCTACATTCATCAAGACAGTATGGTACTGGCACAAAAACAGAAATATAGACAAATGGAACAGGGTAGAAAGCCCAGAGATAAACCCACGCACATATAGCCTCCTTATCTTTGATAAAGGATGCAAGAATACATAGTGGAGAAAAGACAGCCTCTTCAATAAGTGGTGCTGGGAAAACTGGACAGGTACATGTAAAAGTATGAAATTAGAACACTCCCTAACACCTTACACAAAAATATACTCAAAATGGATTAAAGACCTAAATGTAAGACCAGGCACTATCATAATCTTAGAGGAAAACATAGGCAGAATACTCTATGACATAAATCACAGCAAGATCCTTTTGACCCACCTCCTAGAGAAAAGAAAATAAAAACAAATATAAACAAATGAGACCTAATGCAACTTAAAACTTTTACACGGCAAAGGAAACCATAAAGAAGACCAAAAGACAACCCTCAGAATGGGATAAATATTTTCAAATGCAGTCCCTGACAAAGGATCCATCTCCAAAATGTACAAGCCGCTCATGCAGCTCAATATCAAAAATACAAACAACCCAATCCATAAATGGGCAAAAGACCTAAATAGACATTTCTCCAAAGAAGATATACAGATTGCCAACAAACACATGAAAGAATCCTCACCATCTTTAATCATTAGAGAAATGCAAATCAAAACTACAATGAGATATCATCTCACACTGGTCAGAATGGCCATCAACAAAAAATCTAGAAACAATTAATTCTGGAGAGGGTGTGGAGAAATGGGAACACTCTTGCACTGCTGGTGGGAATGTGAATTGGTTCAGCCACTATGGAGAACAGTATGGAAGTTCCTTAAAAAACTACAAATAGAACTACCATATGACCCAGCAATCCCACTACTGGGCATATACCCTGAGAAAACCATAATTCTAAAAGAGTCATGTACCAAAATGTTCATTGCAGCTCTATTTACAATAGCCCAGAGATGGAAACAACCTAAGTGTCCATCATCAGATGAATGGATAAAGAAGATGTGGCACATATATACAATGGAATATTAGTCAGCCATGAAAAGAAACGAAATTGAGCTATTTGTAATGAGGTGGATAGACCTCGAGTCTGTCATACAGAGTGAAGTAAGTCAGAAAGAGAAAGACAAATACTGTATGCTAACATATATATATATATATATATGGAATTTAAGAAAAAATATGTCATGAAGAACCTATGGGTAAGACAGGAATAAAGACACAGACCTACTAGAGAATGGACTTGAGGATATAGGGAGGGGGAAGTGTAAGCTGTGACAAAGCGAGAGAGAGGCATGGACATATATACACTACCAAACGTAAGGTATATAGCTAGTGGGAAGCAGCCGCATAGCACAGGGAGATCAGGTCGGCGCTTTGTCACCGCATGTAGGGGTGGGATAGGGAGGGTGGGAGGGAGGGAGACGCAAGAGGGAAGAGGTATGGGAACATATGTATATGTATAACTGATTCACTTTATTATAAAGCAGAAACTAACACACCATTGTAAAGCAATTATACTCCAATAAAGATGTAAAAAAAAAAAAAACTAAAAATAGAATTACCATACGACCCAGCAATCCCACTACTGGGCATATACCCTTAGAAAACCGTAATTCAAAAAGATTCATGGGGCTTCCCTGGTGGCGCAGTGGTTGAGAGTCCGCCTGCCGATGCAGGGTCCACGGGTTCGTGCCTCGGTCCGGGAGGATCCCGCATGTAGCGGAGCGGCTGGGCCCGTGAGCCATGGCCGCTGGCCCTGCGCGTCCGGAGCCTGTGCTCCGCAGCGGGAGGGGCCGCAGCGGTGAGAGGCCCGCGTACCGAAAAAAAAAAAAAAGATTCATGTACCAAAATGTTCATTGCAGCTCTATTTACAATAGCCAAGACATGGAAGCAACCTGTGTCCATCATCAGATGAATGGATAAAGAAGTTGTGGCACATATATACAATGGAATAATACTCAGCCATAAAAAGAAATGAAATTGAGCTTTTTGTAGTGAGGTGGATGGACCTCCAATCTGTCGTACAGAGTGAAGTACGTTAGAAAGAGAAAAAAAATACCGTATGCTAACACATATATATGCAATCTAAGAAAAAAAATAAATAAAAAGGCCATGAAGTACCTATGGGTAAGCTGGGAATAAAGACACAGACCTACTACAGCATGTAGTTGAGGATATGGGGAGGGGGATGGTAAGCTGTGACAAAGTGAGAACGTGGCATGGACATATATACACTACCAAACGTAAAATAGATAGCTAGTGGGAAGCAGCTGTATAGCCCAGGGAGATCAGCTCGGTGGTTTGTGACCACCTAGAGGGGTGGGATAGGGAGTGTGGGGGGAGCGAGACACAAGAGGAAGAGGTATGGGAACATATGTATATGTATAACTGATTCACTTTGTTTTAAAGCAGAAACTAACACACCATTGTAAAGCAATTATACTCCAATAAAGATGTTAAAAAAAAGAATAAAAAAATAAAATAAAATTTACATACCTTAAAAAACAATGTTTTGTGTATATATATATATATATATATATATATATATATATATATATATACACACACATATATATGTGGGGTATATATATAGTGTAATATTATTCAGCCTTAAAAAGGAAGGAAACCCTGTCACAAAATACAACATGGATGAACCATGAGAACATTATGCCAAGTGAAGTTATCTAGTCAGAAAAGGTCAAGTACTGTATGATTTTACTTACATGAGCTACCTAGGTCAAATCCATAAAGACAAGAAAGTAGAATGTTGGTTGCCATGAGCTGGGGAAGGAGGAATGGCAAGTTACTATTTAATGGGTATAGAGTTTCAGTTTTGCAAGATGAAAACAGTTCTATGGCTGGATGACAGTGATGGCTGCACAACAATGTGAATGTACTTAATGCCACTGAACGGTACACTTAAAATGGTTATGATAGCAAATTTTATGTTTGTTTTGCTACAAATATTTTAAATGGAAAAAGCAGGCAGAAAATCAGTGTTATAGTGACACAATGTGAAAAAGATTCATCCCACTGCTGCTGGCTTGAAGCTGGGGGAATCGGGTGTGAGCCAAGGAATGTGGGTGACCTCTAGAAGCTGGAAAGGACAAGGAAATGGATTCTCCCCTAGATTCTCTAGAAAAAACACAGGCCCTGCCAAAACCTTGATTCTAGTCCAGGAAGACCCATGTCAGACCTCTGACCTACAGAACCAGAAGATAATAAATTTGTATTATTTTAAGCCACACACACACACACACACAAGACCTTAGGTGAACAGTCTGTTCTGAGATTGAAAAACTGAGTGTTTCATAGGGACAGATTCAGACTGGGGCTTAGTTCTGGTTAATATTCCTGTTTCTGTTCGCTAAGGACATATATATATATATATATATATATATATATATATATATATATATATAGTTTTTAAAGGAACAAGCCAGAGAGCTGAAACAGAGATGCTTCACGTGTTCCTTCACTAAGTGTTCCCACTCACCAGGCTCAGCAGCCAGTGGCCAGCCGGTGCTAGATTCTAGCACTCCATGGGCATGCACAGAGTAGGGCCGGCTGGCATTGTTCTTGAATACCACAGTTAGAATATCACCAACCTCTCCTCTGATAAGTGGACCTGGTATACACAAAAGAAGAAAAAGTCTCATTAGTAGAATAGTGGAACAGGGACATTAAAGACATTAAAAAAGGGATATATATACATAGGAGTTCCCTAGATTTAGGAGTTTGCCCGGAGAAAGGGTCCCAAAACTGAAAGTCATGACTGACTCCATTTTTAAATTCAGAAGTCCTTGAGTTGATACTGCTACCCACAGGATAAAGGTACTTCAACAAGATTATGCCTCCAATTATCCCTACTTTTCCCACTCCAACTCTGTATAACAGCCCAAGTTTCTAGATATTCAGGGCTCTGTGGAATAATTGTTGGTAAGGAGTGAGAGTTTGACACAGAGTACAGAATTGCTGGGTTCCCTTCAAGGACCAGTGGGTCCCTTCTGTGTGAAGATAAGAATGATGAAACTCATTGGCTCCTATGAAAGTGAAAAAACTACAGCAATAATTGCAAGGGTGTAAGTGTCATATTAGTTCCCTGTACCATTTTTCCTACTCTTTGATGTTCCTAAGTTCCCTTGCTTTTAGCATTGAAAAAAAAAATCATCACCCTTACAGATCCCTAGATATAGAGGCCTGGAAATACCTGGTTTAGGTTGCAGCAGAATTCATGAATTACCCCCATATGATTGCTTATTTTCATGGATGATTTATAAAATATGACCATAGTTCCACTATAAGGAAAACTGATAATGGGGAATGGAGAGGCCTTCCTGATATGACATGACCTCCCTAAGAGCATAACAGGTTTCTAGACACTAGGAGGGAAGTGGAATTCCCTTACCTAAGATTCCCAAGTGTTCCTCTGATCCAGTCCTTGGCCGTCGGACCCTGAATGTACCATCAGTGTATTCCCTGAATACAGCTTTCTTGTATCTGGAACCCAGGAGTCCATCTTTGTTGCTCAGGAAGATGTGACCATAACTAGAGGAATCCAAAGAGTGGCATCAGCACCTTGCCCTTAACCCCTCATTTTCAAGTATGGGAAATCTATGTCAGACCCAACCTCATGTCACAGGTATAAGAAGGTGAGGCCTATTCATTCTAATATCAGATTACACACTTTGGATGCATATCTGCAGTTAAAGATGGCATATTTCAATATTTATTTATATTTCCTTGTTTGCCATCATCCAGTTATGAATTTATAGTAAAATTAATCTGGTAAGAATAGAGCCCTGAACTCTAGCTCAAGCCTTAAGGATGTATTAGATGGAATTAGTCTGACAAAGAACAAGGTACAGGTGGTAGGAGAATGGAGAATACTAACTGCTTCTGTTGTTGGTGGATAAGGGGTAGGGAGAGGTAGGAAGAAAATGAAATCTTACAGATTTCTCATTATGGGATGTTTTCCTGTTTACAGAGAACTTTACTATTCATTTTATCATTTGATCGTCCCAATAGGCTGATGAGGTATGTATGTCCTAGAGGTGGAATCCAGTGATCTAGAGGTGACAGGGCTTATCTTCATTGATACTATCAGCCAGAAAGGGAGCCAGGGCTTGGATTAAAGGCTGCTCAAGTTCTTTCAACTATACCACATCACTTTAAAGATGAGTAAGCCAGAGTCCAGAAAAGGGACTTAATTTTTTCTAGCTTGCAGTACAAGTTAGCAAGAAGGCTTCAACCTTCAAAAACCAACAGAAAGATTGGCAAAGGGTAGTGAGAACACCAAAAATAAACTATAGTTGAAATTGCTAAACTGTACCATAATTTCCATTCTCCACTCCTTCCTTTTTAGTAATAGAATCACCTAGGTTTTAGCTGAGCACATGGCTACCTAACCAGAGATTACACTTCCTGGACTTTCTTGCAGCTAGGTATGGCCATATGAATAAGTTCAGGATAATGGGGTTTCAGAGAAAGTAATGTATTACAACTTCAGGTCATTGCCTCACAGACAATGCTGCTTGCCATGGATTTAGTGTCCATTTCTTGATAGCTGGGAGTGACTACAACTGGAAGAGATGTCTTAGTTCCAGAGATGAAAGCAAGTGTTATGGGTAACTAGTTAACCTATTGGTCCCGAACTGCTCATATTTGTACTTAAGCAAGAAATAAAATTCTAACATATTTAAGCCACTCTATTTTGGCTTTTTTCTTCTATACAGCTTAGCCTCTATCTTAATGACATTTTGTCAAGGGACATCTGAGCTTGGGGACATTCAGTCCCTTGAGTAAATTCCCTATAAAGTTTAAGTCCCAATATCAGTGCTTCTGGCTAACCAGAGGAAAGGATGCCAAGACTGAGAGCATGAGGATGTGGGCAAGGTTTTACTTCAGCTCTACAGTATAACAACATAGACAAAGCACTGAGTACCAGCTTACCTGTGTTCTAGTCCTTCCTCTAGATTTGTTGGTATCTTATTAGTTGACTTCAGATAAGTGCCTCCACAGCTCAGAATTTCAGTATCCTCCTCCATTTCAGTAAAATGGTCCAGAGTCTTTGAAAGTGTGATCACTTCTTTTCTGAAGCCTTACCTGTCCTTCTCAGACTGGTTGTGCCATTCTAGTTCCCAGCTCCTGTCAGGGCAATAGTCCCACTCCATCTCTTCTGCCATGATGTAGTAGATCCTTGCAGCTTGGTAATGTTGACGAGAGTTGGCTTGGTGGCCAGGACACTGGGAGACATTATAGATTGCCCTCATTCCTGCTTCTCTATGGCTGCCTGCCTGGCAGTAAATTTCAAATGTCCCTGAGGTAGGAACAGAGAGAAAAACCTGAATCAAAACACCCCTGTATAGTGTCTGAGGGAGTTCCTACTTCTCTCTAGGCATATTGCAGAGAGTGGGTAGTTTTAGATAAGGTTTTTCCATGCATTAGATAAAAGATTATTACAAGTTTATTGAGAGCAATGAGCACAGAGTTTAAGAGCTCTGGTGCCAAAGCTACATTGTCTGGGTTTAAAACTAAACCTGCCACTAGGATGACCAGCTCCTCCCTGTTTACCAAGGGCTTCTCTAGTTTTAGCACTGAAAGTCCCATGCCCCTGGAAACTCCTCAGTTCTGAGCAAACCGGGATGGTCAGTCACCCTATTTGACACTTATTTTCTATATAACCTTCAGGAAAAATTTAAGCCTCTGTATGTTTCAGTTTCCTCATGGTAAAGTGGGGAGCATTTTACTTAATAGGATTTTTTTAGAATTAAACACAATAATATGTAGATATTGCTTGGCACATTATAGAGTAAATGTTCAATAAGTGAAACTATAAGTAAGTAAACAAAGCTGTAATTATTATTTAAAGGAAGAAATTGACCAATTTTCTCCCTTCCTACCAAGTCTCAAAGAAATAAATGTGGGCTTATATATATATATGAATTTCTTGATCACAAGAATTCTTACATCAGAGAGCTTTGGAATGGCTTCCCCTAGGTTTTTTACAATGAAATATTTGGATATCAGTCTTAAATGTCTGAATTGTAGAGCTGCCTGGATCTAATCTCAAGATCCAGATTTCTATGTCAAGGACACATAGGCTCATAGACTATTGATCAGGAGAAACTAACTTTTTTACATTTTCCCCAGCATTACTTCCTTTACTGCTGACTGCCTATACCACCACTACAAATTCCTCCTAGCTTTTAAAGGCCTCTATGAGCTAGCTGAAAACTATTGATGCAATCCCACTTACCACTCTGTCCCAAACTCATCAGTGCTTTAACTAAATCTGTCCCTGATTGCCCCTCTCACATATCTCATTCTTATCTTGGAATTTTCACTCATGTTATTTTTACTTTTCTGGAATAGACCTGCCCATCCCCTTCCCCATAAATATCTATAAGTGTTCACTCATTCTCCAAGACCCAATTCATGCTTCATCTCTTCCAGAAAGTCCTCGCTGACTACTCTGGCCCACATTGGACTTTATGTTCTTGACCTCTCTACTCTTAAAACACTTTACATATAAATCACATGGTTAAGGACTAAGTGCTCCTCTCTTTAAAAAACAGTCCTTTCCACTAGTTTATAGACTTCTTGAAAAAATCTAATATTTTCTTTCCATATCTACTTTCTGACTTTTCAATTTCCCTTATACCCCAAATCTATTCCATCAATAAATCCTATCATCTCTTCCCTCACAGTCATCCTTCTGTTTCCACTCTCACTTCCTTAGTCAAAGCCACTATCGTCTCTCACCTGGAAAACTTCAATGGTCTCACAACTGTCTTCTCTGTTTCTCCCTCCCACCTCAAACATTCTCCAAACAAGATACAGGGTCCTCTTTAACAAATATGATCCAGAGCACATTGCTGCCTTGTTTAAATGCTCCATTCATACTCAGAATACAATTCAAGTTCCTGACTGTGGTCTATAAGGCCCTATATAATATGACTCTTGCCAACCTCTATGATTTCATATGATGTCAGGCTTCTCCTTGCTCACTACACTCCAACCATACTGGCCTTCTTTCTGACCCTTGAACAAACCACGTTTATTCCCACCTTGAGACATTTACACTTGCTTGTCCCTCTGCTTGGAATATTCTGCTCAGAGATCTTCATATAGCTCCTTCCTCCCCATTACTTAGATCTTAAATGTCACAATCTCAGAGTGGTCTTCCCTAAATAACTTCTCTAAAGCTCCAATCAGTTCATCACACCATTGTATTTTATTTCCTTCATGACATATATCATGATCTGAAATTATCTTATTATTTTATGTGTGTGTGTTTGTTGTAGATCTCCCCTGGGAGTAAGTATCATGTCTATCTTTTCACCTCTCTATCCCAGTCTTAGCACATGGAATGTGTGCAATAAATATGTGTTGAGTGAATGAATTTCTGTGCAAATGAATGACTGCATACACTGTCCAAACATCATAGCTTACGGGTTGGTATGGAGAAGAAAGTCTGATGATCACTGGAGGGAATGGGAAAAGATAGAAGCCTTTTTGGGAGAATCATATGACCTAGGACTATCACATCATCTCATATGGACATTGTTGTCCAAGGTGGTTCTTTTTTTAAAAAAAATTTATTTATTAATTTGGTTTCACCAGGTCTTAGTTGTAGCACATGGGATCTTTAGTTGCACCATGTGGGTTCTAGTTCCCTGACCAGGGATTGAACCCGGGCCCCCTGCATTGAGAGTGTTGAGTCTTAGTCACTGGACCATGAGGGAAGTCCCCAAGTTGCTTCTTTTTCAACGCTTTTCTGCCTTTGGCATATGAGTCTCCTCCTACCTCTGTGACCAATTTTTTTCTGTCTCCTTAACCTGGTTTGTCTTCTCCCTTCTACCACTTAAATGTTGATTTTTGCTTTAAGTTTTATTTCCTATAACTTTACATGCTAAAGGACTTCAACTATGAAAATACTCAAATCTCTCTCTCTAGCCTGGACTTTTCCTCCAATGTTTATATTTCTACCCACAGCTATCTGCTGTAAAGTCCACACCACTTGGACTTCACAAGAAATGTGAAGTAATAATGTGAAGTAATAAATGTTCTCTTTGCTGCTGAGAAATCTAACATGAAGTTGGTGGAAAATAGCACATTACAAGCTCTAGCCTCTTTTTCTGCCACTTTCCCTGGATATCAAAGCTCTAGTATCAGTGGTTCTTTCGGAAAAGCTGAGGTGTATTATTCGGGACATTTTTAAGTGCAAAATCATCATTTCTATTAAAGGTAATTAATATTTGAAATTAAAATATTATTAGAATTTAAAGCAAAGCAAAAACAGGATTAAAAATGTCACCGATAAACCCACAACACTCACACTCCTAGCATTTTGCTGCATTTTTTTCTGGGAATTTATTCTTCTGTTTTGTTAAACATAATTGTAAGCATCCAGCAAACAACATGTTGAATCTCCATGGTAATGCTTTAAGTCATCTGCAAAGCTGCTTAATTGCATATTTATATTTACCAATCTTCATTGCTACCCCTTTTTCTAGAATTCCAAAGCCAGATTCTGGTTCTGGCTTTTCCATTAACTTGGAAATTTTGTCCTGTCTTTGGGGAACTACTTACAATGGCCTCTCTCAGTCTTAATCAGAGACTAAACTCTCAAGGTAGAATGAAGGAGACTTCAGATTAAAGAGATTACCTAGGAGTAAGAATCAACAGGGGTTGATGAAGAAGGGGCAAGAGGAAAAAAAATTAGAGCTGACGTTCCTAACATGAGAAAATCATTTTCCCCCCTCCAGATCTCTGTCTCTTCCACCCATTAGCAAAATAAGTGAAAGATGATCTCGAAGGGGCTGTACCAGTTCAAACATTCTATGACTCGAGGATTGTTCAGAAAGAGGAGAGTTTGAAAGGACTGGAAAATGCAAAGGTAAAAAGAGCCTGGGCTTTTTCTAATAAGAAAACTCAGAAATCTTGACCAAGATTAACCTTTTAAGCCTTTACTGTTATAAACCCATTCACCGCCTCTCTTCCCATGTTTTTAAGCCATCTACAGTCACTCTCCTTGGGCCTTAGTGTGGCACAAAAATAATTTCACTCATCCAGAGTAAGAATGAGCCCCACAGAGGCATATAAACCTGGCTGGGTAGCCTGGCTAATTTCATAGGAAGGATATTAAACCTAGGATTTGACTTTGGGACCAAGGCTAGAGAGATGGGTCTTTCTTTCTCAGAAGTTCCCCACCCTAGCACTCACTACAAGCACTTAATTCTATTGTCCCTTTCAGCCCCATTAATGGTTATTTCTAATTTGCTAACAACAACTCTTCTTGACCAAGAAAGTATCCTAGGTAGATGGGGAGAAATGAGGACCCAAGTGATGTTTTTTGTCAAGTTTTTGTCAAACCCAGTGCCAGGCTGAAATTGTTAATTTGTCAAGGAAACTTCCTTTGTTTAAGGATTTTTTTCTCAAATATGAATGAAATTTACAGAACTAAAATAAAACTTTCGTGGGAACTGCATTTAACTGACAGATTTTTCTTACCAACACTATTGCCACCTACTGCCTGGACAAAAGAATATACCTCAGGCACTGCAAAGAGAAATTACTATATTTCTGTTTTTAGTATAGATCAATGAGACAGGATAGAAACCCCAGAGATAAACCCATGCACATATGGTCACCTTATCTTTGATAAAGGAGGCAAGAATATACAATGGAGAAAAGAGAGCCTCTTCAATAAGTGGTGCTGGGAAAACTGGACAGCCACATGTAAAAGAATGAAATTAGAACACTTCCTAACACCATACACAAAAATAAACTCAAAATGGGTTAAAGACCTAAATGTAAGACTAGACACTATAAAACTCTTAGAAGAAAACAGGCAGAACACTCTATGACATAAATCACAGCAAGATCCTTTTTGACCAACCTCCTAGAGAAATGGAAATAAAAACAAAACAAAATTAAAAAAATGGGACCTAATAAACTTAAAAGCTTTTTCACAGCAAAGGAAACCATAAACAAGATGAAAAGACAACCCTCAGAATGGAAGAAAATATTTGCAAATGAAGCAACTGACAAGGGTTAATCTCCAAAATATACAAGCAGCTTATGCAGCTCAATAGCAAAAGAACAACAACCCAATCCAAAAATGGGCAGAAGACCTAAATATACATTTCTCCAAAGATATATAGATTGCCAAGAAACACATGAAAAGATGTTCAACATCACTAATATTAGAGAAATGCAAATCAAAACTACAATGAGGTATCACCTCACACTGGTCAGATGGCCATCATCAAAAAATCTAGAAACAATAAATGCTGGAGAGGGTATGGAGTAAAGGGAACACTCTTGAACTGTTGGTGGGAATGTAAATTGATACTACCACTATGGATAACAGTATGGAGGTTTCTTAAAAAACTAAAAATAGAACTACCATACGACCCAGCAATCCCACTACTGGGTATATACCGTGTGAAAACCGTAATTCAAAAATAATCGTGTACCACAATGTTCACTGCAGCACTATTTACAATAGCCAGGACATGGAAGCAAACTAAGTGTCCATCGACAGATGAATGGATAAAGAAGATGTGGCACATATATACAATGGAATATTACTCAGCCATAAAACGAAACGAAATTGGGTTATTTGTAGTGAGGTGCATGGACCTAGATTTTGTCATACAGAGTGAAGTAAGTCATAAAGAGAAAAAAATTACCACATGCTAACGCATATATATGGAATCTAAAAAGAAAAAAAAAGGTTCTGATTATCCTAGGGACAGGACAGGAATAAAGACACAGACGTTGAGAATCGACTTGAGGACACGGGGAGGGGGGAAGGTTAAGCTGGGACGAAGTGAGAGAGTAGCATTGACATATCTACACTACCGAGTGTAAAACAGATAGCTAGTGGGAAGCAGCTGCATAGTACAGGGAGATCAGCTCGGTGTTTTGTGACCACGTAGAGGCGTGGGAGAGAGTCTCAAGAGGGAGGGATTTTGGAGATATGTGTACACATATAGCTGACTCACTTTGTTACACAGAAGAAACTAACAGAATATTGTAACCCAATTAAACTCCAATAAAGATGCTAAAAACATAATCAAAATATACAAAAAAAGAGAAATGACTGCTACGTTATGAAATATCAGACACAGATGGAATCTGGAGAAACATTCTAGTCAAATTTCATCATGAAAGAAGGATAGGGAGAGGGAAAGGGAGGAGGAGAGGGAAGGAAGGAGGGACAGAGGAAGAAAGAGAAGAAAGGAAGAGAGGGAGAGAGGGGGAAGAATGAACAAAAAATAAAAAGAAGGAAGAAATCTAGCCACAGAGAGGGGAAGTAATTAGACAAAAATTGGACAGCAAGTTAATGAAAGAGCCTGGACTAGAAGTTCCTGTGTTCTGATTCCTAGGCTGCAAATGTTACAGCACACTTCGCCCCCCACTCCCACCAGAAGTTTGCAAAACTCCTCACAGAATATCAGAATTGGAAGCACTTATAGGTACATCTCATGGACCTCTTTTCCAGTGCAAGAGTTAAATCTATAGAATCTCTACATGGCCAAGGGTCTATGCAACCAAGTCTACCCTCTGCCTATACAAGAATTGCCCTGATACTGGGCAGCATCCCTACTTCTCTCCTGTTGTTTCAGAAAAGAGCTTCCTCAGCTCTTTATTCTGCCTGCAACTGAGAAGAGAATCCAAATAACCAAAACATGGAGTACACATTGAGGAAGGAGAAGACACAACTGTTTTGAAAAGTTCACAAGTACCCTCAACATGACTTTCCTTTTCTCTTCACCAGCCCCCCACCTCACCCAGTCCAATGCCCAATAAAGTTTCGCAGCCTAGGGCCAGCTGCTAAAGCACTTACCAGGGTTGTCAGGCTGCATGATGGCCATAACAAAAGTGTGAGGAAAGAGCATGGCTGCACTCTTTCTCATGCCCTGAAGCTGCACAGTGTTGCCCTGGAACGTGACCCCATGCACATCAGTCTCTGTGCCCAGGCCAACCAGGTGCCAGGCCACTGTGTCACCCTTGCACATGTCCAGCCTGGGCAAGTTAGAGAACAGAAACCCGTTAATGGCTGGAAAACAAAAACACAAGACAGGATGGGGAGGTGAGACCAGACTACTTGGGCACCAGCCAGCAGCATGGCATCAGCTCTGTACTAAGTTTTCCCACAACTTGAAATTTCTGAGTCATTCTCAACTCCTCTGCCTTCTTCCCTAAGCCACTTTAGTTCTACTTATGAAGATCTGCCTCTTGGGATGAGGGGCCTATTGTCCTTTCTGGCTTTACCTGCTGCCCCTCCTCCACCATACTTCACATCCTGGCAAAACTGAACTACTCTCCACTCCCACAACTCTTTCACACACTTACACACACACACACACACACACACACACACACTCACACACACACACACACACACACGTATTAATCTTTCCTATTCCCACTTTCTTGAAACTCTTCTCCTTTGGATTCTATAGCACCAAATGTCCCTGGTTCTCTTATAACTTTTCTGAATGTTCCCCCTCCATCTTATACTCATTCTCCATGCCTCTGTAAAGTGTTGGAGTTCCCCAAGGTTCCTTCCTCAGCTTTCAATCTGTTTCCTCCTTTTCATCTTCACTCCCACTGCCTTATTTCTGGCTCTCAACATCTCTGGTCTGAACTCCCACACGAAAGCCTCCTCCCTGGTACTCCTACCTATATCCTATCCTCTCACTCTCTTTCACACACACATACACACCTTTATCCTGTGAGCTCTATTTGCCTCTGTATTCCCAGGACCTTAAACATGGTAGGCACGTAGAAAATACTTGTTGATTTTTCACAGGCTGTTCCCTTTGCCTGGAATAAACTTTCCCTCTGGTTTCTCTCTACAGCAAATTACTACATATCCATCATGCACTAGCTCAAATATCATCTACCCTGTAAAGCAGTTTTTGCACTCTTTCTGGCTTCCTTGAAACTTTTCTCCCCACAAAATTCTGAAATGTCACTTACCACAGAGTCCAGTGATTTAAGTACAAATTTATCTCCCACACTAGATTGACCTAGCATGAAGCACATCATTTTTTCCAAGCACCTCGCATGTTACCTAGTACTTATCAGTTGTCAAATAAATTCATACTGGAATAAACTTGGTTTGTAGACTGTATTACTTTTTCCAACTGATGTAACTGACTGGTAATGAGAAGCAAGAGATAGAGCCAAAAGACAACACACTCGTTCTTGACCCTCTCCCACCCTGCATACTCCGCTCAAAAATACAGGGAGACCTGCTTGAAGCTGATCCCTTTTCAATGTTCCTACATCCACTGGAACCAGCTTTAATGAGTAACTTTATTTGATAATCCCCTGGGATGCTGATGGAACCATCGCTAACTGCTTGATTCTGCTTCCCCTACCTATAATGTTTGATTGCAAAGTTATTCAGACTTCAAGGCTCAGTCAAGCACTTCCTTCTTCCAGGAATCCTTTAACTGGATTGTTCCTCATTAATGTTCTCCTTTTCTGAATGCTATGTCACTTAAAAGCTGTTCCACACAATTTAGCACTTAATTATAGTCTGTCTTGAATATTCTATAATTGTTTCATGGGTGTTAGTTTCATTTCATTGCAAAATGCTGAGAGTTCCTTACAAACTTGGACCATGACTCCCCATTAATTCACTCACCCACCCACCTATTCATTAATTTAGTAGTTCACTAGTTCAATAACTACTTACTATATATTAGACCATGTAAAAGATACACAGATAAACAACAAACAATACTCACCTTTAAGGAGACTATACTCTAGCAGAAGTCAAAAGGCACGTAACAAATAACTACAATATTTTGGAGTGTATGGAACTTGCTATTGAAAGAGTCTGATAAAAATACAATAGTAGTTAGTAAGAGGGTATCATCATCCTGGGACTTGGTAATAAGAAATGAGGAGGAGGTAGCTTTTGAGTAGGGCCTTAGAAAATGAGAAGAATTTCCACTGGCTAAGAGCAAAAATGTAAGGAGGGGTATTTCAAGTGGAGGACAAATCATTACAAAAGCATGGACTCAGAAGAGTACAAGGTATGTCTATATAGAGAAAATATCCCTATTTGGCTGGAGTATGGGGTTGGGAAGCAAGAATAGCGGGTGATAAGAAAGAAGAAGATAAGACTGGAAAGGTATCATCCCAGCTTACTCTCCTCATTCTCTAGTGGATTCTTTGTGTGCAGTCCTCATTTTACAGTATCTTTTTCTAGTGTCTCCCATACTGTGTAACACAGAACAAAGCACAAGAAAGGACTAAGTATAAGATATGTTGTCTTAGGTTTAATACCTTGATGTAGCTTGTCTCTTGGGAAGAGATGACCGATAGGATCAATGTTTTCAGGAATGGATCATGATTAAATCTAGGCTAGATTTTACTTATAATCTCTCAGTTGTAGCTTAGGGTAAAAGCACTCCCCATACCATGCATCCGATTAGAGTCTTGGAAACCCTTGAAATCCTCTGAGATCAGTCGGGAATCCAACATAGCAGCTGCTTGATTGGCATTGCTGTACCAGCTCTTGTTCTCATCCAACACAGTGAAAAGGAGAAAGAATTCTTTATCCACTCCTTTCTGTAGTCCCAGTGGAAGAAAACAGAGTGGGAATAACCACAGTTTCAGCAGTTGTGGACTGTGCAGCTCCAGAGCCCAATGATCCCTGATTATTTTCCATTTCCTTTTCCAAACACAGATCCAAGCCCATATCTCCTGCCTAGAGCTGCAGTTGCTTGCTGTAAAGTTTTTCCTCAGGTAACTTCAAATTGCAGGTGGGTGAAGGGGGTTAGAATAAAGTGATAAGACTGGAGGGGAGGGATGTATGAAAGAGGGCAGGGAAGAGGCACAAGATTGTGCACAAGATTGATGAAGAGGTACAGAGTGTGATAGAAGAGAGCCTGGAATCAATTAAGGGAAGGAGTGGGGAAAGACGGCTGGGAGATCGGGGAGGGGGTGGCAGAGGATTCTATGGGAATGGAGAAGCTAGAAAATAAAAGAAAAAATAATTATACTAATTACTAACTTACTATTATTTTATTATTAATTTTAGTAATATTATTATTATTACTGCTAACATTTACTGAGTCTTTACTAGGTATCAGACACTGTGCCAAGCACTTTATATGGATTATTTTAATTAGTGTTCACAGAAACTCAAGATACCTTCTTCTATTGTTAACCCTTTACTGTAGATGAGGAAACTGAGACAAAGAGAGGTTAAGTAATTTGCTCAAGGTTAAACAGCTAAGATTTATGGGCTGGTTATGAAAGAAGGCAAGAAAATAGTAGGGCAGAGTTAGGAATTAGGAGCAAGGTTTAAGGGCCACTGAGGTTAAAACAATGAGGAGATGTTGGGAGAATATAAAATAGAAAGGAATAGAGACTAAGGAAGATATGTGTTTGTGAATAAAAGAATAGCATGCAAGATAGCATGAAGTCACCAACTATTAATTTCTGATTCAATAACTTTTGTTTTTATTCCTTCACTACTAGAACCCAGTTCCATGCTTAACTCCTATTCAGCAACCCAACCTCATCATCTTCCCAGCAGGCTTTCCAGCCAGAAACCATGGCAATACCTGCTTGCCATCTGCACCCAAGGCACCAGCCTTGCACACAAGCAGGGGGCCCACCAGACCAGAATTTGTATCTCTTATGGGATCAGCAGCAGAGAAGTACATCCAGGTGAGACAGGCAGGATCCTGAGCAGTGGGGCCAGCATTGGGAGGGACTGTCCAGCGGTATGTTACTTTCTCAAAGGGCTTAGCCACCAACCCAGGGTGGGATGAGCCTATAGGAAAAGACATAGAATTCATTACTCACATTGGCTAGAGTGAGTATCATCATCTCCAAACAGTGAAGTAAAGATCATAATCTACAAATGCATTTTGGAGTAGCAGTAGGAGAAGCAGCAACATAAAATATAGAATATTAAAAAAGGTTCTGAGTAGGAGTCAAGAGACTAGAGTTTGGTTTCTGGTTCTGCCACTACTTGTGATATGAACTGGGGAAATTTAAATTTCCCTAGGTTTCAGTTTTCCAAACTCATAGGACCCAAGGATTGAAAGAACTTTTAAAACTTATTTGGAATATCCCTCACTTAAAAACATACATTCATCTCCTCTTGTAGTCCTACCTCTGCTTAAAAGTATCCAGAGATAGAAGACTCACTACCTACCATCATAGCCTGTTTAATCTTTGAATGGTTCTAACTGTTGAACATATTTTCCTCTCTATGTGTATTCATGTATGTATGGATGTGTATATGTTTTGTATGTATGTGTGTGCGTGTGTGTGTATATATGATACTAAGGCTGTAATTCCTTAAATAGACACAAGTCATGGTCAGGCAATTCACAGAAATTTTATTTTATATGTTCAAACCTATTAGTAATCAAATTAGTACAAGTGAAAATATAATTTTTTTGCCTGTCAAATTAACAAAATTTTACAAATTATAATAATCAGTTCTGGTGATAAGTGGTTCAAATGGCACTTACTCCTCTCACTCACCTATTAAAAGGGTAAGTGTAAATAAAAATAACCATTTTAGAAAAAATGTTGACAGAATGTATCAAAAGCCTTAAAAAGTTTATGTCCACAAAAAAAGTAAGATACAAAATAAATACTAAAAAGAATGTTCAACCTAATGCAAATAGAAATAACAGTGAGTTTTGTTGTTTGCTTACAAGACTGACATTTTGACAATGATTAAAATGGCTGCCCTCTGCTGGTGAGGTTGTAAGAAAATGTGTCCTCCCTCTTGGTAACTGTTGATGGAATTCCAAATTGATGTGACTGCAAATTTTTCCAGAGAGCAATTTGGACATAGGTATCAGAAATTTTCATGTGTGCACCCTCTGATATTATTCCACATCTTAAATATATATTCTGATGAAATAATCATAAAAGTAGGCAAAGAAGCATACATAAGGATATTTGTAGTATAATTTATCATATGGTGGTATAATTTAGGATAGCTTTAACTTATTTTTTCTTATTCATTCATTGTTCCTAACTCTTTAAATTTTAAAACATACAAAAAACCTTAAAAGATAGTGCGATAATTACCCTACCACTTGGAGTTGATTGTTAACATTTGGCCACCTTTTTTCTCTTTGTATTTTTTAAAATTTATTTATTTATTTTTACAGTAGGTCCTTGTTGGTTATCTATTTTATCACAGACTTGGCCATCTTTAATTTATCTAAATCTATGTGTATGCTTACTTTTTCTAAATCATTTGGAAGTGAAATGCAAACATAATGACATTTTACTTCTAAATACATCAGTAAGTATCTGCTATATTACCATAATAACATTACCAGACCTAAGAAAATACCCTAATATCATCTAACATCCAGACAAGGTTTGCACATTGCCCTTGGTGTTGTCTCTTTAATTCTTTTCCCTATGGCATTGATTTCTTGAAGATACTAGACCAGATGCATTGTAGAATGTTCTTTTATTCCAGATTTGTCTGTAAGTTTGCCCTTTATGCTTTCAGTATTTTTTGGTATTTTTGGCTTGAGGTTAGCAGGTGTTAATATTATTCTCAGGGAAAACAAGAAATTAACTACCCAATAATCCCACTTCTTGGATTTTTTCCTAAGCTAGTAGTCCAAACCAAATATATATATTCATTCATTGCAACATGATTTACAATATTAAAAAATAATGAAAGCAACCTACATGTCCAAATAATAGAAGATAAGGTAAAATCTATGTGTTAGAGTATTATATAGTCATTAAAATGTTTGTAAGATTATAATGACATAGAAAATGGACACAATATAATGGTAAGTGAAAATAGTAAGACACCAAACTATACAAAATATATCATCACAAATTTTTAAATATATAAATTTGTATAAACACAGAAAAATGTTAAAAGGTATATAAAATATATTGGCAATTTACTTATGAATGAACTTTATTTATTTTATAATTTTCCATGTTTATCAAAATTCCATAATACATGTACTTTCATAATCAGAATATATTTAAATATATTTAAAAGTAGTTGTCTCTTATTGATCCCAGCTCTGTCTCACTAAAATATCATACATTCATTCAACAACATCCATCCATGGCAGTTAATTCTGCCTTCTTTTCTCTCTTTCACTCCTTTATTTATTTGTACTCTATAGGTACCTGTTATTATCTGTAGCCCACATTACTTGAAACCCTGCCTGCTCACCATCATTGTACACAGTTCCCTCGGAGTCTTTCTCATAAAAGACCCCATGAGGCTGTATGCTGAATGGCTGGGAGGCACGGTTGTAGAAGATCACCTGGATGGTGTCACCCACCTCAGCCCGGATCACTGGCCCTGGAAAATGGGAAGGAGAGACAATGGTAATGTAAACAGGATGATCAGGTAGGATGGAAGTAGGAGAGGGAAGAAAAGTAAAAAAGAAGTGAAAAAGATAGAGAAGTTTTTCCTCTGCAATAAGAAGAATAATCTTTTTCAAGTATATTGCAATTTACAGTTATAAAAAGCACTTTAAAGTCCACCACCTCATTTTGGTCTTCAATCACCATTCAAAGGTATAAAAAGCAGATGATATCATCATTTTTCAGATGAGGAAACTGCAGCTCAGAGAGTTGGAACTGATCTGCCCAAATTCAAATGACTGATTAGGAAGAGAACCAGGTCCTGAAGTCAGGGTTTTCTCCTACTCCACTGTCAGGTCCAATCCCATTTCCCCAGTTCCCACAACTGCATTTCCTGGTAGAACTCAACTAAAAATCTGAGCTTGCCTCAATCCTAAACTGAATTGAAACAGATGAAATTATTATAACTTCTAGTCAGGTCCTGGACTAGGTAGTCTAGCCATCACTTCTACACTTACCTTTCTTCCATTACCTACCACATCTAACCTAGCCTGGAACAACTTTGAGATCAACAAGAAATACCAAGACAATACCTTGAGTACTTATGGTGGCTCTAACCCTAGTTCAGGGTTTCTGGCTTAGTTTTTACTCAATTGCTACTCCTAATGTTGCACTTCTGTTCAAAGACTAGGAACCTATACCCCACTTACAATAATGGAAAAAACAACTATACAAAAGATAAGCAATGAAATGAAGACAAAACACACGATAGACCAACTAGATATAATATATACAGAACACTCTACCCAACAAGAACAGAATACACATTCTTCTCAAGTGCACAGAGGACACATTCCAAGATAAACCATAAGTTAGGCCACAGATTAATCTCAATAGACTTAAAAATATATCATACAAAGTATTGTCTCCATCACAATGGGATAAAGTAAGAAAACAATAACAGAAGGAAAACTGGAAAATTCACAAAGTTGTGGAAATTAAGCAACACACTTTTAAACAACCATAATATCAGAAAAGAGATCATAAGGGAAATTACAAAATATGTAGAGGAAAATGAAAATGACCACACAACATACCAAAAGATGAGAGGTAGTAAAAGCAGTGCTAAGCTGGAAACTTATACCTATAAACACCTTTAAGAAACAAGAAAGTTCACAAACCAACAACCCAACTTTACAACTTAAGGAACTAGGAAAATAAAAGCTAACAAAACCCAAAGCTAGCAGAAGAAAGGAAATTATAAAGATTAGAGCAGAAATAAATAAAATAGAGAATAGAAAAACAATTTTAAAAGTCAATGAAAATGAATATTGAGAACATTCAAGATGGTGAAGGAGTAAGACGTGGAGATCACCTTCCTTCCCACAAAACATCAAAAATACATCTACATGTAGAACAACTCCTACAGAACACCTACTGAATGCTGGCAGAAGACCTCAGACCTCCCAAAAGGCAAGAAACTACCCATGTGCCTGGGTAGGGCAAAAGAGAAAAGTGGAAAAAAAAGACAAAAGAATAGGGATGGGACCTGCACTTCTGGGAGGGAGCTGTGAAGTAGGGAAAGCTTCCACACACTAGGAAGCCCCTTCACTGGCAGAGATGGTGGGTGGACAGTGGGGAAGATTTGGATCCATGGAGGAGAGCACAACAACAGGGGCACAGAGGGCAAAGCAGAGAAATTCCCACACAAGGATCAGTGCTGACCAGCACTCACCAGCCAGAGAGGCTTGTCTGCTCACCCACTGGAGCAGGAGGGGGCTGGGAGCTGAGGCTCTGGCTTTGGAGATCAGATCCCAGGGAGAGGACTGAGGTTGGCTGCATGAACACAGCCTGAAGGAGGCTAGTGCACCACAGATAGCCAGAAAGGAGTTGGGAAAAAGTCTGGAACTGCCTAAGAGGCAAGAGACCATTGATTCGGGGTGTGCGAGGATAGGAGATTCAGAGCACTGCCTAGACGAACTCCAGAGATGGGCGCGAGCTGCAGCTATCAGTGTGGACAGCAGAGGTGGGTATGAAACACTAAGGTTGCTGCTACAGGAGATCAGCTCGGTGCTTTGTGACCACCTGGAGGGGTGGGATAGGGAGGGTGGGAGGGAGGGAGACACAAGAGGGAAGAGATATGGGAGCATATGTATATGTATAACTGATTCACTTTGTTATATAACAGAAACTAACACACCATTGTAAAGCAATTATACCCCAATAAAAATGTTAAAAAAAAGAAGCATGTGTGCAAGCACAGGTCACTATCCACACACACACACCTCTCCCCCCAGGAGCCTGTGCAGCCCGCCACTTCCAGGGTCCCGAGATCCAGGGACAACTTCCCTGGGAGAACAAACAGTGTGCCTCAGGCTGTTGCAACATCACACCAACCTCTGCCGCCTCAGGCTCACCCTGCATTCCAGACTCCTCCCTCCCCCTGGCCTGAGTGAGCCAGAGCCCCCTAATCAGCCACTCCTTTAACCCCATTCTGTCTGGGTGGGGAACAGATGGCCACAGGAGACCTACATACAGAGACAAGGCCAAAACGAAAGCTGGAGCTGTGCGAACAAATAAGAGAAAGGGAAATCTTTCCCAGCAGCTTCATGAGCAGTGGATTAAATCTCCATAATCACCTTAATGTACCCTGCATCTGCAGAATACCTGAATAGACAATTAATCATGCCAAAACTGAGGTAGTGGACTTTGGGAGCAACTGTAGACTTGGGGTTTGCTTTCTGCATCTAATTTTTTTCTGGTTTTATGCTTATTTTAGTTTAGTATTTAGAGCTTATTATCATTGGTAGATTTGTTTATTGATTTGGTTGCTCTCTTCCTTTTTTTAACATATATATTTTTTCCTTTTTCTCTTTCTGTGAGTGTGTATGTGTATGCTTTTTTGTGTGTGTTTGTCTGTATAGCTTTGCTTTTACCATGTGTCCTAAGGTTCTTCTCTCTGTCCGTTTCTCTTTTTCTTTTTGTATAGTTTTTAGCGGTTGTTATCATTGGTGGATTAGTTTTTGGGTTTGGTTGCTCTCTTCTTTCCCTCTTTTTAAAAAATATTTTTTACTTTTTATTTTTAATATTTTTTTCTTTTAAATATTTTATTTTTCTTTATTTTATTTTTTTCTCCCTTTTTTTGAGCTGACTGGCTGAGAGGGTCTTGGAGTTCCAGCGTGAGCCTCTGAGGCAGAAGAGCTGAGTTCAGGATATGAGTCTACCAGAGACTTCCCGGCCGCACCTAATATCAAAAGGCGAAAGCTCTCACATAGATCTCCACCTCAATGTTAAGACCCAGCTCCACTCAAAAAAACAGCAAGCTGCAGTGCTGGAAACCATAGGCCAAATAATTAACAGGACAGAAACACAACCCCACCCATTAGCAGAGAGGTCACCTAAAATCATAATAAGTTCACAGACACCCCAAAACACACCACTGGATGTGGTCTTGCCCAGCAGAAAGACAAGATCCTGTCTCATCCACCAGAACACAGGCACCAGTGCCCTCCACCAGGAATCCTACACAACCCACTGAAACAACCTTACCCACTGAAGGTAGACACCAAAAACAATGGGAACTACGAACCTGCAGCCAGTGAAATGGAGACCCCAAACACAGTAAGTTAAGCAAAATGAGAAGACAGAGAAATACACAGCACATGAAAGAGCAAGATAGAAACCAATCATCAGACCAAACAAATGAAGAGGAAATAAGCACTCAGCCTGAAAAACAACTCACAGTAATGATAGTAGATGATCCAAAATCTTGGAAATACAATGGAGAAAATACAACAAACGTTTAACAAGGACCTAGAATACTAAAGAGCAAACAAACAATGATTAACAGCACAATAAATGAAATTAAAAGTTCTGTAGAAGGAATCAATAGCAGAATAACTGAGACAGAAGAATAGATAAGTGGCCTGCAAGATAAAATAGTGGAAATAACTACCATAGAGCAGAATAAAGAAAAAAGAACAAAAAGAATTAAGGACAGTCTCAGAGACTTCTGGGACAATATTAAACACATCAACATTCAAATGATAGGGGTCCCAGAAGAACAAGAGAAAAAGAAAGGCACTGAGAAAATATTTGAAGAATTATAGTTGAAAACTTTCCTAATATGGAAAAGAAAAGAGTCAATAAATTCCAGGAAGTACAGAGAGTCCCATACAGGATAAATCCAAGGAGAAACACGCCAAAACATATATTAATCAAACTATCGAAAATTAAATACACAGAAAAAATATTAAAAGCAGCAAGGGAAAAGCAACAAAAAACATACAATAAAATCCCCATAAGGTTAACAACTGATCTTTCAGCAACAACTCTGCAGGCCTGAAGGGAGTGACAGGATATATTAAAAGTGATGAAAGGGAAAATACTACAACCAAGATTCCTCTACCCAGAAAGGATCTCATTCAGGTTCGATGGAGAAATTAAAAGCTTTACAGACAATAAAAAGTTAAGAGAATCCAGCACAACCTACCAGCTTTACAACAAATGCTAAAGAAACTTCTCTAGGCTGGAAACACAGGAAAAGGAAGAAACTTGCAAAAACAAACCCAACACAATTAAGAAAATCATAATAGGGACATACATATCAATAATTACATTAAATGTAGATGGATTAAATGCTCCAACCAAAAGACTGGCTACATGAATACAAAAACAAGACCCATATACATGCTGTTTATAAGAAACCCACTTCAGACCTAGGCACACATACAGACTAAAAGCGAGGGGATGGAAAAATATATTACATGAAAATGGAAATCAAAAGGAAGTTGGAGTACTGATAGTCATATCAGACAAAATACACTCTAAAATAAAGACTACTACAAGAGACAAGGAAGGACACTATATAATGATCAAGGGATCAATCCAAGAAGAAGATATAACAATTGGAAATATTTATACACCCAACATAGGAACAGCTCAATACATAAGGGAAATGCTAATAACCATAAAAGGGGAAATTGACAGTAACCC